TTCTTTTAAACCATGCTTTATGCAGAGTTACACTGAATTTAGTTTGATGATAGTTAATTGTGTTAAAACTGTTTTTACTGGTGTGCTTTAATAGAGATTATTCTGACCTGGGATATCAGTAGCCTATTCTCATATAAAGTGTGCCAAGTTGGTGTGTGCTGGAATTTCAATACCATATGTTAACATTGTGAATGTTGTTGTGAAATGGTTTATAATATTTCAGGCCCGTCAACTACGGAAAAAGAAAAGGAATCGAGAGACAGTACTTCACCATTGGATAATAAGACTGTTCCAGAACCTACCCCACCCACTAAATCTGAGGTGAGTACATATTTGAAATTCCACAGATTAATTTTTAGGAGTTTTTTTTTCAATTTTCTAAGTTTATTTGTTCAGCATTGTGCTGGTGGTAATCCCAGGAATCTATTTCTGAATCTGAAGTTTAGGTCTTGTTAAAAATGAATGGATGGACACATAAGCCATGTGTTAACTCTTAAATCCACCATATTTACAGATTTCACTATATATAGAAATATACTAACCATATGGTATGCCAAACATAGGCAACGAGGAAAAGATGAATTGAAGTTATATCAATAATTCTTAAGATATTTTGAAATTTGATAATATTCTGGAATTTTTATAAGAGTGGTATTACATAAAATCAACTTGGTGCAATGGGTTTATAATCAACCACATCTTTATAAAACTTTGCCTTTTATAGTTGTAATCTATCATAACATGTGCAAGTGTCAATTCTTATGCTTATTTTGGGATTCTACAGCTTTTATTTGTAAGCAGTTACAATAAAGGTGACATGTGACAGTTTGAATGATATTACAATGATAATAAGTACATCATATCTTGAAATATGCTTATCAGTTAGGATTGGTGTTACTTTATCTTACATTTAACTAGACATGACTTTTCTTTGAATTGTCAAGTGGAATGTTTTATTTAATGTAGATAGTCAAGTTAAAGAACTGAAAGCTGGCTATTTCAGACTGTAATTAATAACTAAATACTTCAATTTGATTGAAATAAATTGTTAATCATTCATTTTATAATGTGGTGGTTAAAAACCGAAAATTCCAAAATACAGAAAAAATGGACAATAGTAGAAAACATGCTTCGCAAGTTATTTAAGAAAAAATATTATGACTTTGATTCTGTTGATTATTCAGGATAATTATAATGCCTTATATATTTGTTTAGGATTTTACAATATAATATATTCACTGTTACAATAGTGCTCAAGACATCAATACATATTTAGGATTTTACATTTATCTTTCCATGGCCACCTACATTTATGGTTATCACCCCATATCAAATTACAAAATATACTATATGAAGCAGTCAGTTTACATATATTTCAGAATATGGTTAGAATATATTGTGTATTTAGATTGATTATTGACACTCAAACCAAACAGATGTTATAGATTAATTCAAATACACATTCATAAGCCCCTTTCACACAAGATGATCTGTTGCACATAAGAACCACTCCTCCTTAAATAAGATTATATTGCACTAAAATCAAGCGGTCTGATCTTTGTTGTTTGTTGTGATATTATACTAGTGAGCATCAACTAATATGTAGCAGGAGTTCTTCAGAAGACCATCAAAGACAATGTTAGAGTAAAATGTAAGACTGAACTCTATTGTTTTTGCATGGAGTTGAAAGGAAGAATCATTAGATTATAAGATTCTACTATTTCATATATTTATACTTAAAAAATCAATTTGGTTGGTTTAATATAAAACGGATATAGTTACCTTGATACTGACTAGTATTAACAATGCTAGCCTGCGTTCTATTCAAGTGATAAAGGATTTTTAATAGTAGTTCCAGGGATCAGTTTACATTGTGTAATTTGATTAGCAATTTGATTAGCAAGTAATTAAATTACCAATTTATTTTGACTAATTTTGATTTGCACTTTATAATCCTTTGGTATTAAATGAAATATCTGGTTTTAGGTGCTTAACTGCTTGACTATGTATCACAATCCATACATTTGTTCAGCTTACATCAACACCATTGTAAATTGTTGGACTTTGTAAACTAACACATGGTACACCTTAGTCCATGATAAGCAAAAAAAAAATAGACTCTGTAATAAGGTAGCAGCGATATCCCAGGGATGACGATATATCGCAATTATTACAAATAATATCGTATCATATCGTCAAAGTGTCAAAATTATCAAGATAAAAAACAATATTGGAACGAAAATACTTATGAAATTACGGTAATTATTTGTCATCAATATCTTGTGGGGGTCTCGACAACAAGCTTATGTTGATTAAAATGCTACTAAATATAGACCACAAATAATGCTCACTTTTCATTGATAGTTATTTCCTGCCATGATAGTTTATTAGCATAAAACTAATGACAACATTTCGGTAACCCCAGTCTCAATGAAATTAAATAAAAGTTAATAGAAGCAGCAAATACTTTGATTTTTCTTTTCCATGAGTGTATTTGTATTGATTTTTAGTCGCGAAGATTTTATTTATCATGGCATTTATGCATATTGATGTGTATAAGCTGTGCCAGGGCAAAAATACATACGTCGATACGTCCACATGTGATCATGGTAATAATAACAAATACATAATCGAATGCATACTTTCATATTTTAATTTTTTTTCAAGTTAATTTATCAAGTCATATGTTCGAATTTATTCCGCTTTTCATGTAAGTTTGTAAGTTTCACGTTTACAGTTATGTCGATCACAATAGATTAATGTTATATGGTTTTCGTATCGTGATATCATACATGTGATTCCTAGTATCATGATAATGCAATTTATCGCGATTAATCATGATATCAAAAACATGATATTGTTGCTACCTTACTCTGTAATGTATGGTTAACAACCAACTGTGTTAGTAACCTAGAAAGAAAATCTTTCATCATTTGCACAGTTGACAGACATAAGCTGATCAGAATTTTTTGGTAATACCTTGAATGTTCGAAAAATTATCTCAGTAACTGACCACATTTTCACAAAGTCAAGCTATTAAAACTTTCGTCTTATACCTTGACTGCAATAACCACTATTCTCGTATCACAAATTGCTGCGATTTGATTTGATTATATGCCAGTTGCAGCCTCTGACTGTATTCACTAGCATTGATTCCAATCAAATAGCATTATTGACAGACTTCTGTGATTCAAAAATAGTGGCTATTACAGTCAAGGTATAAGACAGAGTTTTGGGTATTTCATGATCTAAAAGAGCAGTAAAAACTTGATGATTTGGAGAAAGGATAGGATAATAAAAAACTGACACGTGACCATAGAATGTGTTCTATATTATCTCTATGATTAATAACATTTAATTATGATACCAGAAATTGATCCTCTGACTACAAATCTTTTAAAGAGTACCTATAATGAACAAAAAAAATTAATTTCACTCAAACTTGTCTAATGACAATATATCCATCAGTTGCCTGGTGTCATTATTACTGTCATATATTATCTTTTATATCAAAATCCATCTATAATCCGATAAATCCACAAAATCAAGTAATTGATTATAAAATGCTGAATACATTCAGTAAGCGATTATCAAATTGTGAGTCTTGGAAACCTGTTATAATCATAAGGAGAAGTAACTCTCACACGTTGTTTACCTCGTCCTTGACCTCTACTTTTGAATTGACCTTGACATCGTCAGACATTTTTATACGCCCACATTATAGTGTGATCGTATATTTTCGTCGCCCCTGTTCGTCTGTCCACAATTGGCTTGTGAACACAATAGAGACAACAGTTTTTATCTGATATTAATGAAGTTTGGCATTTACATTAAAGAGATCTTGGACAAGTTTGAATTTGACGATCTTTGCTGAACGCTTATTTAGTTATTGCCCTTGACTTATGAAAAACGCGATAGAGGTGACGCTTTATGTCAGAATATTATTAAATTTTGTGTTTGATTAAATCAAATATCTTGCACAAATTAGATTTTTGGTATGATTGGTGACCGCCCTTGATATACTGAAAATGTATCTGGAAAATTGTAGGACATATAAATTCTCAGAAGACCAAGAAGAAGCAGTTCATATTATTTAGAATGATTTCTCCACAATTGATAGTTTTCAACTAATATAAATCATTGGGAACGTGCTTGTAACAACGGAAGATGATTGACATTTTGTAGTTTTAGTGTTGATTACCCATCCCCCCAGTCTCTTTTTTTTTATTATATTAAATTCTGAATATAGTTTTATTGTCGCTAATTTCAAAATTGATAAGTGTGGCATGCATACTTATTTAATGACCTGGGTAGACCTGCTTAGGTAAAAATAAATTCTTCTCAAGATAAAGTTCATTTTCAATTTGACATAATATTGAAAGAAGATTTAGATGTATTGACCTCTAATTAGCCTGAAAATGTTACATTGTGTATTTTCAGTTGTATTTTAATGCAAATAGTGGAAATGATCATGTAATTGAATCAAATTTGGTTTGTTTTTGTAGGTTAATGAAAGTGTGACTAAAGAAGAAGAACCAGTAGCTCCCCCAGTCTCTGTTTCAACTGATAATAAAAATGAAACTATACCACAAGTTGAGATAAAAATAGAAGATGTTGATGTATCAAAAGAAAATGCCAAGAATAACGAGATGACATCAGAAGCTTTAAATAATTCTCAAGTTCCTAAAAAAGCAGAGATGCAGCTTCAATATAAATATAAGCCTGGTAAGTCGTGGATTTAAAGAATACTCTTATTTCAACCGTTCCCCTTTCATATCATTGGTTTATTCTGATAGAAGTGAAAGAGTCCAATTGGATGTCATTGAACTATGTACAAGAGATCCTGATGTTCTAAACTATTAAACCAGTTATAATACTAGAGAAGCAGTAGTGATGCAGATTGTACCATATTGGTCTGGTCTGTTACACGTTCTGACTCTGAAAGACATGTATATTTATTGTTTATATATATTGTTAATGGTTTTTAACATTTTGCTTATTTTCTTCTAGAACAATGGAGTCCGGTGAATCCAGAGGGAAAGATGACATACGATAGAGAATTTTTATTACAGCTACAATTTGCTGATAATTCTGTCTCTAAACCACAAGGGTTACCAAATTTACCTGACATTATTTTAGAAAGGGTGAGTAGATTTCTAAAAGTTAATGGTTTCCATTGAAACTGACCTGTTTTGCCCCAATTTGTCAGAATCTTTAGACTTATTTTATTTTTAATGGAAATTTATGATAGTAAGTTACCCCTGCCCTGCTTACTTCATTTCTACAATACTTTAACCATGTGTTATGCTAACATTTATGCCAAAACACGAATCCCTTATTAATTTCTGATTCCAAATTTTAAAAGAATTACCTCTGTACTGTTTAGGTATAGAAACAAAGTTGTTCAAAAATAAAGATAGAAGAATTGATTATATTATATTAATCTTTATGCGAGACTTATTAACATTGATGTGGCTAAAAATATTCATTAAGATTTTATGTTTCATATTTTGTTTCAGCCTCAAATGAATCCATCTAAAATCAATGACATGGGTAGTACAGTAAGAGATTTTACACCAGATTTCTTTCAGACATTACCAGGCAGGGTAAGTATTTAAGACGAAGTTCATGACAATCTGTTGTTAGTCGTGTCATTGTTTTACCTAATGATTAAGGTGAATTGATTTTCAACAGAAATTTTATCACATTTTTTGTGATTGATGTTTCAGTGAACAAAATATCAGCTGGATACTTAAATTATTGTCTTAATAATTAAGCAAAATGATGAATGAGTTATCCCTGTCTTATTTCATTTTGATAACAAAACAGCGAATTCTTGTACTGATTGCTTTGCTTTTGTTTCTATCAAATTTGGTTCATAACTGATCCATTCATGCCAGTGAAAAAGAATTGGCCAAAAGGGATTCAGAAGTTTTTTGCCTTTGAAATTTCAGACAGGAAATCTAATTGGTACACACAATTCCTTGAAAAAACATGCAGATCGTTGCATTATAAATCCATTTTTCTCTTACAGTCTGGCTCTAGTCAAATGATTCGCAAGAAAAACAGTCAACAAGGACCTCGAAATGAACCAGGAAAAAAAATAATCAAAACAATTTCCATATCATCTCAAGATATCAAGCTACATAAAGCTGAAAAAGCTTGGGAACCAGAAAGGAAGAAAGATAAGAGCGAAATGACTGAAGAAGAAATAGAGGAGACCAAAACAAAGGTTTGTAACTTTTAACTTAAAAACGAATTTATCTGATAATGTATAACTTGATTTAATTGCAAACCAGAGAATATTTTAATTATTAACACTAGCCCTGGTTGATTCTGGATCTGTGGCTTTGGTAAAGCACTTTCTGACCAGACTCTAGAAGTACTTCAATGTTCTTTCAGTTTATTGTTTCGACTTTCGACAAACATTTGAATATTAGATTTAAACAATTAAATTTTCATCTCAGTTATTAGACTAACAAACTGAAATATGGATGATTTTTTTTGTTAAATTTACAAAGTACAAGATTTTTATTCAGATTTTCACTTGAAAAGGCAAAATGATGAACTAAGTTATCCCTGTCTGACTATATTTATGATGACAGACTGAATTCCTTGTTGCTGATTGTCTTATGTTAAAAATCCTTATGAAATCACCAATACAAATAGTCTAAAAGACATGACAAATGTATTTTTCTTTAAAAATAAGATGTTTGTTTTAATGAAAGACAAAATGATGAACTAAGTTATCCCTGTCTGACTATATTTATGATGACAGACTGAATTCCTCGTTGCTGATTGTCTTTATTAATTTTCTAGATATCAATTTGAATGATTTTCTATATATATTTATCAGACTACTTTGTTTAGATTTTGATCTCAAGCTCAAATTGATGCATATTTTTGATGTAGAGCTACCACTGATAACAGTGAAATATATTAACATTGATTATTATACGCCCACATGAAATGGGGGGCGTATATTGCCGTCACCCCTGTCCGTCCGTCCATCCACAATTGCTCTTAAACACTCTACAAGGCACAATTCTTGACTGATTTCGACGAAACTTGGTATGGTTGTTTGTAATCACCCAAGGATGAACCCTATTGAAAATCGGAAAAGTCGAAAAATATTGAGTATGAGTTATTGCGCTTGTTCTTGAAAACTCGTTCAATTTTTAGCTTGTAAACACTTTGGAAGGCACAATTCTTGACGGATTTTTAACGAAATTTGGCTTGAGTGTTTGTTATCACCCAAGGATAAAGCCTATTGAAAATCAGAAAAATCGAAAAATATTTAGTATGAGTTATTGCCCTTGTTCTTGAAAACTCGTTCAATTTGTAGCCCTTAAAAATACTAGAAGGCATGATTCTTGCCGGATTTTGACAAAAGTTGGTTTTATTTTTCAATACCGCACTGAAGATTGAATATTTGTCTTCTAGAGTTTTCACGAGCTAAAGATGGAACACGTTTTCAAGAACAAGGGCAATAACTCATACTCATTATAATTCAGTATCGCCCTAAAGAGTTCAAAAGAAGTGTAGACTTAAGGTTGAATATTTCATACTGGTGATTGTTACTGTACTGATAAATATTTTTATTCAAAATCAAAGCTGCCAGTGGGCGTATATTACCTTGCCTGGCAAGCTATCTTTTAATTTTCAGGATATATATAAACAAGTTAAAAGTATATTGAATAAATTAACTCCCCAAAAATTCCAAACTTTATTACGACAAGTAACAGAGTTAGATATAAATACAGAGAGCAGATTAATAGGTGTTACAGATCTTATCTTTGAAAAGGTAATAGAATTTTTTTACACCTGTTATAAGTAGTTATGTAACCTAGATAAGATATGTAGAATAAAATGAATTTGAAATATATTTATTTCAGACGAAACTCTTCAAATTGATTTTTTTTTTCCCTTTATGTCTTTTTGGATCTATGAAAAATTAGAATAGTAACATTGATTTGTTCATACTAAATGTATAATACTGATATTGACATTAAGAAAAAGATAACCTGGATTAGGGCCAACTTTTACTTGTGCCAAACTTCTGACATGACATTGAAAGTTCTGTATCATATTTTTATTTTTACATATTTTACAGCAAAAGCCATAATAGAATTTGATGTATGAATAAATGAAAAGATATCTGAAATTATCAAAGTTAAATATTCTTCTTTCAGTACAGAAGATAAATTGTGTGTGATGATAAAATATATTGTACATTTCAGGCTGTGAGTGAACCTGCATTTAGTGTGGCTTATGCTAATTTATGTCGTTATTTATCACAAGTAAGTTTTATTCTATTACTATGGATTCATCAGCAGGACAATATGATGAACTAAGTTATCCCTGTCTGACTATATTTATGATGACAGACTGAATTCCTCGTTGCTGATTGTCTTATATTGAAATCCACTTATCATGTATTTTACTGGGAGCTCCAAATGAAAGATTGTTATTATGAAGTACGATATTAAACTTAATTTTTTTACCATCTGTAGTTTAACCTAAGAAATCCCTTGAGTAAAACAAAAGTGAAGAAGATAATTGCAAAGATCAGCGGATCATTTTAACTAGAATCTTTATTGCATTGATAAAGTGGGATTGCAAACTGTGTAAAAAACAAATTAAATCTTTCATTGTGTAAATGCTTAACATCTTCGGCATCGTCTATCTCTGGCCTAAACTGGAATTTCCAAATGGTATGAAGGTGTAGAGTAGATTGAATAAAAGCAGTTGTAGTCGTAAAATTGAAATGTAATGTTTCATAAAAGTGAACACAAATTTTTTATTTCAGTTAAAAGTACCATCTGATTCAAAGCCAGGTGAGATGGTGAATTTCCGAACTATATTATTGACTAATTGTCAGAAAGAGTTTATGAAAGATAATGATGTAGAATCTGATTTAGAAGAAAGAAGGAAGAAAATAGAAGAAGCAACTAGTGTAAGTTTTGTTTAGTGAGATAAATCATGCTCATCATACTAGCAGTTAAGAAAACAATATGAAAGGCAAAATGATGAATGAGTTATCCCTGTCTTACTTCATATTTGATGACAAAACAGCGAATTCCTCGTACTGATTGCTTATGAATTGTTTACCTACATTTATACAATTGTCACTATCTTGATTAATGGTTATGGTGATATATATAGTACTTAATTACATCAAAATTATCCTGTGAACGTAATATAGAAACTACACACAATAGGATTGATAATAGTAAGCTTGTGTGTCAGATAAGAACCATATTCAGGAAAACCATTATATTGTCTTAATCACAGGAGGAAGAAAAGAAAACGTTAGAAGATGAATTCCAAGTGGCAGCGTCAAGTGCTCGGCGTAGATCCACAGGAAATATTAGGTAATTTAAATTTTTTCACTTAGTATGAGCTCAATTATTTGATATGGTTGATTGTACGCTGGAACCAAGACTAAGAATTAAACAGTCTTCATGGTATCGAAATAAATCTGGGAAGGAAAAAAAATCCAAGGTTACATAATCAAGTCATTTTGTGTTAATATAAAGTGTAATATTTTGGATCTATTTCAGGTTTATAGGTGAATTATTTAAATTAAAAATGTTAACTGTAAATATTATGCATAATTGTGTATTTAAATTATTAAAATCTCGAGATGAAGAAAATCTAGAATGTTTATGTCGACTGTTGACTACTATTGGTAAAGAGTTAGATGAAGCTAAAGCTAAGGTAAGCATATAGAGTTACATTGTGTGGTTCTACTGACAAAATGATTTAACATAATGCTGTTTTGTTGTTGCCTATCATTTTAAACAGACAAGTTTTGACTTGCAGTAAGTTTTTGTATTATCGCTAATCATTGATTTTATCAAGTCTATATTTTTGCTTGGCAACAATTTCCAACTTTCAACCAAAATGATGACAACGTTGTCCCGTGTCTGATATCTAAATGTTGATATCCCTTGTTGAGATCACTGATTGGTTGATAATTGAATCTTCATTAAGTTGATGAGCTGGGAAAGGGTGAATGTTGATATAAGATTCTATATTTCAGACAAGAGTAGACCAGTATTTTCAACAGATGTCTAAAATTGTCAGTGAGAAGAAAACATCCTCTAGAATAAGATTTTTGTTACAAGATGTTATTGATTTAAGATTAGTAAGTATTTATTGATATTAAATTTTCTGAATCTAACTTCTTCCAGCATTTAAAAGTTGCCCGCATTAAATACTAAATACTATTTCTCTCTGAGCCTGACTCCATGACACATATGTGTCAAGAAGCATTTAAATTTTAAAATAGATGATCTACACTTACATATAGTTTACAATAATTCTACTTTCATTCTTTGTTGTTATAATGATAAATGTATTTGATTATCTTAAACATTTTTTTTATACTTTTCAGCGTAATTGGGTTCCAAGACGGGAAGATTATAATCCTAAAACCATTGACCAAATCCATAAAGAGGCTGCAAAAGAAAGTGCTCAAAAGGCTCTTTTATTGTCTCAACCTCTTCCACCAAGTACACCAAAACATGATGGCCGTCGTGATAGTCGTGATGGCAGATCATCTGGTAGAGGTGGACGTAAGTAGCCCATTATTTTATAAACATGTAGATGTGAAAAATGAGTTATTGAAATACTATACACTCTTTGAATTGCTGTTCCATTTAAGTCTTATCTTATAAAATACATCTACAGTAAAAACTGTATTAAGCGACCACGCAGGGGAAAATACAAAAACGGTCTCTTACCGGAGGTGGTCTCTTATGAAAGAATTGAGTCGGCTGAAACAATTTCATTCATTTCCTTTATTTCATTCTATGTATTAGAAATCCGCGCGTTCACCACTCATAGCACCAAAAACACTGTTATTCCTTTAACAATGGGCTACGGCATTCCGAGCGCGACAATCTTTATAAAACTCCCAAGTTTATTTGTTAATTTCTTCATTGCCGGTGAACCGCTCGACACATTTTCGATCGGGAGAAACATTGCTTTCAAAATCCTCCATGATTTCTCGACCACTTTTCCCGGCTTTCGCCAAGTTGATGACCTTGACCCTTTCATTTAATGCTAAAACATTACGTGTAAGCTTCGACATTTTGAAAATGAATGGCTCATGCTTAACTGCCTTTTTATACGCCCACATGAATATGTATATTCCCCTGTCCGTCGGTCCGTCAACATTTCTTGTGAGCACTAAAGAGACAACAGTTTTTATCTGATTTTGATAAAACTTGGTGTGATGCTTTAGATTGATAAGATCTCGGTCAAGTTTGAATTTGACATATTTTCGATGAACGGTTTTTGAGATATTGCCCTTGACTTAGAACGCCTTGAAATTTGTTAAAAATAGATTGTGAGCAGGATTGAAGCTACAGTTTTCAACTGATTCTGATGAATCTTGGTGTGATCATTGGAATTGATAAGATCTCGGACAAGTTCTAACTTGACGCATTTTCGATGGACGGTTTTTGAGTTTATGCCATTAACTTACGAAAAACGCGTTAAAATTTGTTTGTGAGCACAATAGAAGCTACAGTTTTCAACCGATTCTGATAGAACTTGGTGTGATCATTGGAATTGATAAGATCTCGGACAAGTTCTAACAAGAGATATTTTTGAGGAACGTTTTTTGAGTTATTGCCCTTTACTTTGTAAACACGCGTCAATAGTTGTTTTTTGTCCTTGATTAGAGCTGTGTGATTTAATTGTTTGTTGTATTTGGGTTATTGATATTGATTTTAAAAAATTTTGAGGAATTATTCAGCATAAATAATTTCTTCAATATGAGAAAATTCATACTTTAGTCACTAAAGACTGTTTTATTATTTCTGACAGCTGCCAGTGGGCGTATGTTACCTTGCAATGCAAGCTATCTTTTATATCGATAATAGACTGATATTAATCATTAACAAGCTATAAAATCAATCCTTAGACCGATTAACAATCATCTCGATTAATCCCACCGATATGTGAAACAACGTGATGTTTAATCAAGGGAGTTAATAGTGTCATGGTCGCTTAATTGACTCAATATGATTACACGGGAGTGTAAATACACGGTCGCTGGTCGCGTAATGAAGGTGGTTGCTTATCAGTCGTTAATTACATTGAAAACTCGTAGGGGGGATTTTATTGTGGTCGCATATTGAAGGTGATCGCTTAATAAAGGTGGTCGCGTGAGCAGGATATACTGTAATTGTTTTTATGTATATTTTTTTAGCTCCAAATCGTGGTTCTCAGAATGCAAGAAATGATGATGGATGGACTCCTGTGTCTTCCAAATCATTGCGTAACATAGATCTGACCAAAATGAAGATAACCAAGACTCCAGTGGATGACAATATTCAACTAGGTCCTGGTGGAGGATCATCAAGATTTGGTGTTTGGGGTCGAGGCAGCAGTGGTGGTGGTCTTGCTACCAAGTCATCTTCCCAGGAAGGTGAATCACCTGCTAATAATGCTCCAGCTAATAGGTAGGACAAGTTATTTCATTTCTCTTTTTACCAACAGGAGGTCTTGCTTTACAACACTGATGGAAGGTTAATTTAATTTACAAAAGATATCTTTCTTCTTGATAAAATTGTTAATCTTTCTGATAGATTGTCATGCTTTTCGTCAAATTGATACATCTCATATGTAATAAAATAAGCAGTTGGATTTAAATTTACCTTTATAAATCATTTCTTCAGATTCACAGCTTTACGTCCAGAAGATGATGGGAGACCATTTGGTCGTGGTACTAGTCCAGCTCGAAGTGATAGTAGAAATCGTGGTATGGGAGGTTTTGGTAGAGGTACACTTACACCACGATCTTCTCAAGAAATGGATCGTGAACGAGCTATTGCTAATGTTAGGTAAGGGAATATAACTTCTGTAATGGGAGTTTTTAAGTTTACAGATAATACTCGTAGCATGCGCTGTCTACATTATTTGGAAAAATTGTGTTGTCCCAAAAAACACATTAGGTTTCTAATTTATTTTTTCTTTAGGATGTCATTTTGATTTATTAGATACAAGACTAGAATATAATATTGCTTTTGATATATTTTGTAGAAATATAGCCGGTAGGGGCAGTAATCCAGCTAGTAGAGAAAATAGTAGAACCAGGGAATCAAGAATAGACCAGAAACTAGATACACATAGTAAACAATTATCAGAGGAAGAAATAGAGAAAAAGACTAAAAGTATTATTGATGAATATTTACATATTAATGATATCAAAGTAAGTAATATTTAAGCTTAAATCAAAAAAGAACCACAAAATCTATTTCAAATGTGGTAATTACATGTTGTTTTGCTATTCATTTCACATAATGGCTTAAATAATTTCAATGTTTAAGTAGAATTATTGACATGTGTTCATGAACAAGACTTTTTTCTATTTACAGGAAGCCTGTTTATGTGTATCTGAAATAAACCATCCATCAAATGTCCATCTATTTGTTGAACTGTCTATTAATTCTGTATTAGAAAGATCTAAAATAGCTCGCCAACAGACTGGTAATCTCCACCATGAATTAATTAGTAAAAAAATAATCTCAGTAGAGGCATACTTAAAAGGGTAAGTGGACAGATTTTGAGTTTTGATCCCCATCCCTTTCTGAACGTGAAGGGACTGACAACGATAGAGATCAAGTAATGAAACAAAGACTAAGCTGCTCTCATTACCTAATTTCTAGTCTCCATGGGTGCAGGCAAGTATGATACTTAGATTAGAAATATTGAAAAGAAAATTTAATTCCCTTCCAGATTAAAACAAACATTAGAAATGGCTGAGGATATGGAAATTGATATACCAAAGATTTGGCAATATTTAGGAGAGTTAATAGGGCCAATGGTTCAAGATGGTTGTGTACCTTTAAGTTTCTTAAAACAAGCATGTGAGCCACTACAAGAAAGTGGTAAAGCTGGGAACTTAGTTGCAGAAATACTTCATGATGCTAGCCAAAGATTGGTATGTCTAACATCTTCAGCATTTACATTAGATATTTTCTTCTTGGCCTGTGCTTTTGTAATTTCAATTAAAAATTGTTTTTACAACCACTAAACATGACTAAAGGGTATACCATGGATGGTTGTCAGATGTTTTGTTTCTTTTCTTCATTTTTTTTTTTCTTTGGATGTTAATTTATAAATTAGTTGAAGAAATTCTTGCAGAGATCTATATTACCTTACTACTGTATTTCAGGGCCACAAAAAAATAGCTCAATTATGGAGACATTCAGAATTGACATGGACAGATTTTGTGGAAGAAGACAAAATAAAACAATTCCTTTTGGATAAAGGATTGGAATTTACTGTAGCTACTGATTCTGCTCCATCTACCCCAGTGGATAAAGTTTCATTTGAAACAATACAAGAACAATTATTAGTTCGTTTACGTGATGAGAATTGTGATAATGAACATATATTTGATTGGATTGAGGTAAACAGTGTTGATATTCTTATTAATAATTGTGATTTGTGTCATGTTCTAGAACTGGTATAAATGTTGCAGAACTGTCAAAAAAACAAATAAGTGTATGGTCTAGTTGCCATGCTTGCCAGTATGTGTGAAAATTCTATTGGATTTTAAAAACGTACAGATAATAATTATTATATTTATTTATTTTCAGGCCAATATTCCAGATGAGATGACAAAATGTCCTCGTTTTATTCGCACATTAATGACTGCTGTATGTAAAAGCGCTATCGATGGTTAGTAAATTTGTTAGCACACAGAATTGTAAAGTAAGCAGGCTTTATTGCCGAGCACGCTGTATGTACACTGAGTTTAACTGGTTCCAGAATGACTCGATCTCAAAGTCACACATTAATTTAATCAAAAGTTAACTATTGTGCATGAGCAGTTAAAAGTAAACAACGCAATTGTGTGGAAACACATCAAAGCGAGTTTAAGCTTGGAGTAATGACTGACTGGAGGAACATCGCCTCGTCTTGTAATGCTACAGTTCAGTGCCGCTGTCAATCAACACGTGACGTGAATCGGCTCTTTCCTTAAGCGTTTCTATTTGATGCAGATGATTGGATTTGCGTATGTTGTAGGACTATTAATAATGAAGGTATAATAGATAATTAATAAAGGATTAGGCCTATTATAGATAGTAGGCTATAAATTATATTATATATGTCTGGCTGTATGGCATCATTTCGCGAGAATAAAAATCAATTTTCCTCCATAAAAAGGTAACATTTGACTTCGAATAACTTCGGTCCGCACGGTTCATTGAAAATGTTTCGTTTTCATTGAACTTTCATCTTTCTATTTATGGTTATCATATATTCAAGTGATCTCAGGCACTAACTATTGATGTTTGTTTGCACGTACATCCTAGAATATAGAATTGTTCAAATCCAACAACTCATCGTCAAAATCTTAGTTTTCAATCGCTTTAAAAAAAAAAAAAATCAAGAAATCCGTTTTTCATGGAAGCTGCTAATTTGGTTTCAACTGCGCATGCGTGTTGTTTATACATAAAGGGTACGTTAGATTGCACATCTTGGCTTCAATCGTGGCCGCTACCGACATGGAATTGATCGATCGGGTTGCTAGGTGCAGTCAAGCTGGTTGCTAAGTAAAGTAGAGTCAAGCGACACTGAGTATAGTTTTCTATAGGCGGTGTTCCACTAGTCAGTCATTACATTCTAGCACTTACCTGAGAATTAGTGATTTACACCATCATAAATGTAAGTTTCTTTACAGAAAGAATTGTTGTGTTGTATTATATAGAATAACCTTTATATTATTGTAATAATTGAATTTGTTATTGTAGAAGGTGTTAATTGTAAAGTAACACAACGTGTTATCAAACAACGTCAAGCGTTATTAGTCAGATACATAGATAATCAACAAGAATTCGAACTACAGGCGTTATATGCTTTACAAGCTTTAGTTAATGAATTACAACATCCACCAGGTGAGAAATAATCAAATTTGTTTAAGCCTCCCTTGTATAATAAACTAGTGTCCAAAAGAAACGATACCACCTGTTAACAACGACATAAAAGAAAAACTAAACAATGCAGAAGTTTAGGATTGGTGTTATGCTTTTGAGAAATCCTTTCACAACATCTGTACAAAAATTTCATTTCAATAAAATCTGTACAACCAATATGACAAGCCTTTAAAGATGGGTGGGGTCGAAAAAAGAACATTTCGTTAGAGCACTGATCACAGAAACAACGGGAAATGTCACACCACACATCACAAAGTCAAGTCAGTAGCGGGTATGTCCACCGTGAGCATCATTACATGCCAGAACACGCCTACGGACTGATGCCATTCCTCGAGGAGACATCGTTCCAAGTCCTGGACGTTGACTGGAGGCACACGGCGATGTCGGATTTGCCGATCGAGGTGGTCCCATAAGTGCTCGATGGGATTCATGTCCGGTGAACATGCGGGCCATGGCAAAACCTGTACGTTGGCAAGGAAGTTCTGTGTCAATCTTGCTGTGTGTGGCCTTGCATTGTCATGTTGGAAAAGGAATCCACGAGGGTGTTGCTGAATAAAGGGCACCACAACAGGCCGTAGGATGTCATCAATATAACGCTGTGCATTCAGGTTTCCACGAATTACGACAAGCCTCGTTTTGACGTCACCACATATGCCACCCCAAACCATTAACCCTCCACCTCCAAACGGCCAGACCTGTTGGATACAGTTAGGCGCCAAACGTTCACCAAATCGTCGGTATACAAGCTGCCGTCCATCGTTTTTGAAGATGAGGAATCTGCTCTTATCAGAGAACATAACACGTGCCCAGTCCCGCTGTTGCCAACTCGCCTGGCCCAGATCAGTCTGTTGTTCCGGTGTCGAGGCGTCAGGAGCGGACTGCGGTAGGGATGACGTGGCCGGATACCATACTGCCGTAGTCTCCTGTAGACGGTCTGTCGACTGATCCTGTGTCCCAGTGCTGTAGCCGCCGTGGACGTTGCTGTTACAGTGCGGTTCCTCAGGTGTAATACCCGGATGTAACGATCTTCACGGGGCGTGGTTACTCGTGGTCTTCCACTCCTGGGCCTGTCTGACGTCTGACCTGTTTGAAGTAACTGCTGCATCAACCTGGTGATAGTGATGCGTGCGCAGCCCAACTTTCTGGTGACGTCGACGTGTGTCGCTCCTTGTTGGACCATTCCAACGGCTCTCTCTCTCTCTCGATGGCTGTCAAACGTGGCATATCTTGTGTTCTTTTTGTTGCTGTGATATCAACGTGTCTGATCAGCTGTTTTATACAGTTTTTATGCACGTGCAGAACATGCTAGAGAGGGAAATGTCACTTTCACGAAATTTACGTTTTTTCCCGGAAGTGATCACGTGTTCCCGCTATTTTTATCGACTATGCTGTGTTTGGGATGTGCAATACGAATTGGCATGTTTTCATATTAGACAAGTCACTTAGTAAAAAAACAATTTTGAAAATAAGTTGGTATCGTTTCTTTTGGACACTAGTTTATATTAAAGGAATAGGTTCACCATTCGTTTGACCAATTGCACTTTAGTCTCAGAAACAGAAATCTCATCACCAGTGTTCTTATTTGCCACCATACTGGTAACTGGCCCTTAAGTGAGTATAGAATGAGCTCTTATGAAATAGGATTAAGATGTTTTAAGTTTGAAAAGGCAGAATTTCTATCAAGCTATATCATGTTTTAATTTTTGTTGTAGGAGTGTTGAGATCTTTCTTTGAATATTTATATGATGAAGATGTTATATCAGAAACTGGTTTTACACAGTGGTCAGCTAGTGATGATCCTGCTGAACAGGAAGGCAAAGGTGTGGCAATGAAAGCTGTAGTTCAATTCTTTGCCTGGTTAAAAGAAGGAGAGAATGAAGAGAGTTGAAGTAAAGCCTGGTCTAGTTCTTTTTGAAATATCCAGGGATCTCGCTTGTGCTGTAATCATTGGCATTGATTCTCTTTCATAATAAAAACTTCAAAATTACAGAAGCCAGTAATATTGGAGGCTTGAAAGAGCATTGATGCCGAACACCATTCATTGACTTGGCATTAAATTGAATGCTATCACTTCATATACAATGTGCTTAAAAAGTGATCTTATTTATAAATCATAGCTGTATATGGCTTAAGAAAATGCCAACTTGACAATTGTTATGACAAATTGCCTTGATAACAATAATTTTGTGAATAAGTATTTTTTTTGGTATTTTTAAGAGACTATAATGGAGAATGAGGAATCAATTTGTTTATTATTGTATGTTATTTAAATATGAACTTTTTGTTATTTCTAAATTATGTTTAACAGAGGCCATATATAAATTCTAAAGCTAGCTAAAAAAAAAAAAAACCTTATTTAATTCTATTTTTCCTTTGTTTCTGTCTTGTTTTGTTAAAACTACTGGTGTCTGAATTGTGTATGTTGACTTTTTCTTTTCTGTATCATTTTGTTGGAAGTTATTGATCATGTGTGTGATCACTCTGCATAATGCATGCAGATGAAAAATCATAACATATGCCCACATTTGAATAATGTACAATAATGTTGAAGCATTTTACTGTGGCTTTTGTTCGTTTTGAGAGTCTGATGAATGAAAGCCAAACTGATTGACTAAAATTAAATGGTGATGAGTTATATATATTATATTGTAGTCAATTGAAGGCTTTCTATGTTGACTATAACTATGGATGTTTATATAATTGAAATGGTTTCCAAGGGAACTGGATCAGATTTAAAAAAAAATAAACTTGTGTAGATTAACTGTGATCTTGTGAACTGAACTTTTGAGTTGATATGAATGGCATGGAAATTCCCTGATCAGGAGGGTGGATTTGAATTTCTTAAAGAAATTGTATTTTGCATGGATATCTTCGCTATTTAATGAAAAAAAAGATGTTTATAAAAGAGGTATATTTGTAGTTCCCAGTCAAATACTGGAGAATGAGTTACACAAAATAATGATGAATTGAAACAAAACCGTTGTAAATAAATAATTCTGATAAAATCTATTTGTGTTTTCATCTTATTTATGCCATATGATCATAAAAATGCGAGCCTGCTCCTGTGGAAACCTGACATATTTAACACTTTTTTGTTATATAATAGATAAGAGTCCTTGTGTCCGAATAATGAAAATGCTAAAGCACTATTTGTCTTTAGTTGATCTATGAATAAATGCATGCAATATCAGACTTTTGGCATTTTGAGACCTTGATTTTTTTATGAAACTTATGTAGGAATATATAATCAAAAGAGGAATTTCAGAAGGTTGCTAGTATTTGAAATGAATGGTCATTTTCGATGATTCTGATGAGGTTCATCCTTAAATGATCAAGTTTCATCAAGAATTGAACCATTTAAGGAGTTTTTGGACGATTTGGTAGATTAGTTACTTTGTGCTTATATGAGCCAGGAATATTAAGTTTACCTAAACTGATTAAGCTAATCGTCTTGGTATGTGGTTGGGCAATTCGATAGGACTTTTTAAAGACGGCGGCATGTGGCCATGCAACAATAATGATAATCAAAATAGATGACTTTCTTTTGGTGTCAGTGGAGGCAGCCATGTTGAATTTTTGCAATTCAATAACATCTGTGAAGTGTTTACAAGAAATTAAGGAAACTTCAACAAACCTGGGTGGTAACAATATATAAATGGGATTGAGAATGCAATAGAGACTACATGATTGGCATGATGCATTTTCTTGTATGGTCATGGCACCTGGTAAGTCTAACTGATGAGTATTTTGTTGATCAAGCTTGAGACTTCTTGTCCATTCTAAGAGGTAGCATTAGCATCCTATATAAGCTACAGGAATTACTTTTGTAGTTTTCTGAGGCCATTGAGCCTGCCATTTTGAAATGCACGTAAATAAACAGTTTATTAAGAAACTATAGAAAAATATATAAAACAAGACTAAAAATAGAATTTATCAAATCTGAAAATACAATGTTCCATAAGAAAAAAATATATATTGCAAAATGCCCAATTTGAGATGGTTTATATGTTTTCATTTTAAAACCTGCTAAACCTCAAATTATTTTCTACCAACAGTTTATTTGTTAAAATGTATTTCGTCCTGTATATATTTGCTGTACTAAGGGATAGATCTCCATTGCTTAAGATTTCAGTGAGCAAGAGTTAAATTTTGATTCTTGAAAAGTGATATGGATAGTTGAAATAGCCACTCTATCAGCCAATAAGGCAAATATTTAGATAGCAACATCCCATTAATTGGAAAATGTTTGTTTACAGAATGGTAAGTAGACATAAATGAATGATTTAACTCAATGCCAATATCCAGCAACTAACTCAAAAATTGGCCTAATTTAGTGATTTGCACTTTTTCATTGCAACAAGATAATTTTAGTTTATATGAATTCTCATACCACAGCTGAAATAGAACTGAGTCAAACATATAAAACACAATAGAGTGACTTGTAGAGATCTAAGAAAGAAAGAAACAACTATAAGGATAACAACTTAGGTTCACATTTATGGATCCTTTCTACCAGCTGGTCCTTGACCAAACCTCTTGGCATTGATCTTTCCTGGATTATCTGTACCCATTTACAGCTGTAATTATGAGTGAAGGTCATCAGATAGGAACCTGCAGCCACCATTTGGTCGACATAACGAAGCAAATGATGTCATGTAAAGAACTAATGCTCTAACCGACTGCTATAGAATCTACATACTTGTAGAGAAGCTGAGCTTTGAACATTCAAATGAGAAATATCTTTTCAAAAACAATGTGCACAATTTTCCTAAAATCATTAATATTTTCCTAAAATCATTAATATTTTCCTTAAATCATTAATATTTTCCGTAAAGTTTCTTGCACGATACAGGATTTAGAATTGAAAAAAGAGCAAATCTAGTAAAATAGACTTATTCACTACCCAAATTTGCCTGATATTTTCTGTATTTAAATGCTGCTTCAGGATGTTTTCTCATGTGCCAACTTAATGCATTTTTCTGCCTGCACCGATAGTCACAAAAATCACATTTCAATGGTTTTTCATCTCTGTGAGAGAGAATGTGTGTTTTTAAGTCCTTTTCTGATGTAAACTTCATATCACAACCAGGCCAGGGACAATCCTGACATTCACTTTCAGGATGCTCAGTCTGTATATGATCAACCAATGCTGTATAACTCTCAAACACTTGTTTACATTCATCCAAAGAACACATAAAATTTTCATCTTCAACTTCACAGATTTCTGATTCTAAATTTTCAACAGTATTTTCTAGAGTTGGTATTTGAAATAACTTCGAACCATTGCCTATGATCTGTTTTTTGTTTTTATCCATATGAGTTTTCATATGATGATTAAGTCCTTTGGTTGTAAAAAATATTTTGCCACATTCAACACAAGAATGTGTATCAAGAGTTATCTTTTCATTGCCATGAACTTTATGGCGATGGTCATTAAAGGCATGAAATGATTTAAATCTGTCCTCACACAAGTCACAAGCAAATTTATGATACATGGACTTTATAGAGGTATTTGATGGATTAATTGAAGCTTTAGCACAGATTGTACACAACATTGATTCATGATCAGTTTCACCATTAGAATAACTGACAAATCCTGATTTGCACAAGGTACAAGTCAACATGGCTGGTCGATGTTCTTGCTGATGGCTTAATTTGCTGTCTGCTGGTAGAATAGCATTACAAATTTTACAATGATACAGTTCTTGAAACATGTTTGGTGAAATTTGATGATCATCAACTTCTAATTCTTGTTGACTAGCATCAATTTCTTCCTCAAAACTAGAAGATTCACTAGATTGCATCAAATTTTTTTTTCTTTTCTCTGTTTTTGTCACTTTACCCCCCCTTGGTTTGATTTTAAAAGAAGTCCACATAAAATCACTTCCTTTCTTGATATCTGTAAATTGTCTTCGTCTTGGTCTCACATTTATTAAGGACTTAGAGGATAAAATCATCTCCTGATATAATGTTCCATTAGGATCCGGCATAGATGATATATTAGTGTCTGCTTTGTTCTCTATTACTGATTCACTAGGTGGAGATGGGGGTTCTATCTTCACAATGGAGGGAATATCTACTTGTGCATGGATTTCTTGCTGTGTGGAAACTTGGATTGGATTGCATTGAATAAATGGCATGGACTCTGTAATCATCGGGATAGGTATAGGACGACTGAGATCTTGAGCATCTGTAACTTTAGTATCTGTTGACATCTTCTTAGCTTTCTTCTCTGATAAAAGATGAGACAACATTGGTAATTTTGGTGGTCTACCACGTCGACGCACTGGTTTACCTACAGCAGATAATGAAGCATTTGGGTACACCATCATAACTGACTGAGAGGTAGCTGTTGACATTATGGTTTGAGAACTTGCAGGCAACAGTAAGGCATTATTTGAATTAGATGAGATGTCTGACGCAGACATTACCTCAGATTGAATTGACATGGAGGAATCTATCACAGGGATCTCTTGTTTGACGTCCAGTGTGGCCTTTTGACCTTGTTGAGTCAAGGATGGTTTGTTCCTGGATCTTCTACTCCATGGTAACTTCAGTATACTAGTGTACACTCCAGGAAATAAAGTATTCTCAGCAATTATCTTCATTTCTCCAGGTTGTGGTTTTCCTGGTCGAGCAATACCTCCACCTCTAGATTTACGTCCAGGCTTTCTACCACGTGGTGAAGGTGTTGGAGCTGTCACTGTTTGAAGTGATGGTTGTATGGGAGTTTCTGTCTTAACAGGAATTCCAGGCAATCTTGACATAGTCTCCATTAAATTAGGTGCTTGTAGAAATGGAACAGCAATAAGATTTGGTATTCCATTTAAGATGAAAGGATTGTCACCACAAGATGTAGGAATCAAGGAGGTCAGTGTTGAAGTTTGCAATCCTGGCTCTACTTTTACAGCAGTTTTCATCACTTCCTGAGGTTCACTCTTGATAAATGGTAAATCATTATTTCTCATAGTAATAGTTGGTAAATGCATTGAAAGTGAAGGAGAGTCATGAACTGGGGATGATCCTTGACTATAATTCTGTTGTTTTTCTACACTAAGATCCAATGGCTGATCAAAATCCATATGTTCAGGCGGTGGACATGAATGACTCACATGGGATTCAGCTACAACCTCATAATTTATGTTATTTTGTGTAATGGTTGGTGATTGAGTATTGCTGTGACTTGGTTCCGCATTGAGCAGGGTGGATTTCTGTGCTGCTTCACTGTAATGACAAAGATGAATTCCATTGAATTTGTTTGTTTTTAAAATTTCAGTATTAAAATTTATTTCACAAAGTCAATTTTAAAATTCAAAAACATAGGGGAAAAAAGTGGGATAAAACTAAAAGTCATTATCTGAAGCAAAACATATATTGATGTAAAAACATTGTAAAGACATTACTGCACATAAATTCTTAGCCATACATACATAATATTAATGATCTTGAAAGATGATAAACTCATCCTGACATGATAGTTGGTAAGTTAACAATGTGAAATATACCTGTAATCTTGTATCAATTTCCTCATTAATTGACTGGTATTAAGATGAGTGGATGTTTTTAATTGTAGGAAATCTTGAAATAAATCAGGAGGTATTGTTAACTGTTCATCATCTGATTCTTCTTCTACATCATTTTCTATTCCTTCTATAATCTACACAGAAAACAACATTTTATTTATAATTTTTCTGTTATACAGAGCTTACTTCATACTATACTTTGATAATTTTACAGATAAATATCAAGTTCCAATCTAATTCTAAAAACCAGCAATATTAAACAGATTTATGTAAAAATTTGTTAGTAGTTTATGCATAAACATAAATGAAGGTCAAGCTCTTTCGGTAATAAACAGAATTTCAACAAAATTAATACATAGCATAAAAATTTGTTGTTCAGTTGGGGACAAATTTTAAACTCTGTGCTCTAAAATGTTGAAAATGCAAGAGCTACTTTAGATTTCAACAGATTTTCATCAAACTTGAATGTAATCATTTGATCAATTTTCACAATACTGGATATGTAGAATGAAAAAAAAAAAGAATATTAACAATTTTCAATTTTAAATTCTATGATCCTGAATAGCAAAATTTAATCACTCTGATAATTGCATCTGATTTTCATGATATTGGTAAAAGTTATTTTTTGTTTCACCAAATGCATGCCATTGAAATAAAAATGAAACGAATGGAGTTTTACGTCCTACTCTTCTGCACCTTGTGTGCTAATGAAGACGGGGAACGCCATGCAGGGTGCCATGAGGGAAATTTTGCCAGGACAGCCGCATTAGACTGCTCTTTTTCGCTGTCCAACTGTCGAGGAATCTTTAACATGCACAGCCTGTAGCACACGGGGTCTTGGTTTATTGTCCCATCACTGACAGGGGGAAACCGGGTATGCATGCCATTGAAGTGGATGTATTTGGAGTGATCAAATATCTAGTATCTATTCATGTATACTAGCTCATGGCTTTATAAAAAAGGTGTTGATACAGATATTTAAATTCAACCAATCTGATTAAAATACAGATCTGAATTTTTTTTCATGTGTTTCTTCTGTGAGTGACTCCACATCAATAATTTGACCAAGTTGTCATGCTTCTCATGTTAGAGATTATACAACACTCAATCAAATGCTGTATTCAATAAAAGATTTAATTTCTAAATGGTAGGAATTCTGTGATATTAATAGTTAAAGTTCAAGCCTTGAATTGTAATGCTTGCTAACATTTAAAAATGATTTTTATTGGGCTATAGGTCAAATTTTTACAGAATAGCATTTGATGATGAATTTTGTTAGATCATAAATGGCACATGATGTTATCCACATAAAAATAAAGAAACAAAAAAAGTCAATTTGAATTTGATTGTAATTGAAACAATTTTTTTAAAAAGAGTGTCTGAAACATTTGAACCTAAACATTCACAACAAATGTGCTCCCCCCATCCTCTACCAGACCTTTTTTGATTTAAATGTAGGGCCTACGTCAATTATTTTAAACCTTACTCTTGCAGTGTTAACTTTTCTTTTACATACAGTACACTTTCCATTTTATACCGAAATTACAGTCATTTCCATTGAAACTGGCTGTACTATTATAGAGTATATTATAAGATTTCTGTTTAAGTCTATTTATAAGTCTTCTAAGAAATGACTCAACTTTGACTTATAATTTTATATCTCACTGCATATAAATATTACATTTGGATAAAGAGCACTGGTCTATATCATAATAATTTGAGAAAAAAAAATTATAGTGCTCCTTCATTAAAACAATCATTTAAAGTGAACATCTTTCAGTAAAATTTGTAAAAAATGTACATAAATGTTTTTCATTAATCAATTGCCTAACATCTTAAATACTTTTCACAAAGCATCATTATCTAATTATAAATTTATTACATATGCTATTTTTGCTTAAATCGAAACGTGCTATTTATTTGATGTTATTTATCAAGATATATGACTATTCTATTAATATCTTTAATAAAAAATTTAACTTAAAAACTTTTTCACTCACCTGAGATGATTTATAATTCATTGATCTTCTATTTAGAGGATTGGAACCCTTTCTTCTTGATGACATAACGCAACTTTATAAACTTTTCTTTTACTACTTAAATCCAATCGCAAACTTATGCAATGACCACAAGTTAACATTCAGATCATAAATTCTCAATTCTTCGTCTTTGAATGTTAGGAATCGGTAAATTGGAAGAACTCCACCTTATGACAAATGCATATTACATGTGTGCTATTGATGCCACATGACTCTATTTTTCGCTTCAGACTAATATATTCCAAGGAAGAAAACTTCTAGCAAACTTTTGATGGAACTTAAACTTTGTTTATTCAAAGATGGAGTCTGGCTAATGCCAAATTGGTATTAAATGATGGTAGCGAGACTCGAATTGGGTCAACTTATTCCTTATATGGGGTTGTTAATTGAGGACGAGATCGGTTTTCATGTACCACATCTGGTAATTTGGCAATAGATGCTACAGTGCAGGAAATAGCACGCGCATCTTCCCTCCGTTTTCTATATAAGGAAGTAGTGGTGGAATTCTTAGGTATACTTCTCTCTTCTTTATATATTACAGTTGCTATAGAAACGAGAATAAATTTAGTGTATAGAAGAGAAAGTTTAGTAAGAATATTGTAGTATATATGTAATTGTTATCTCCAGAAAAATAATCAACGATGTTGTTAGTCATATCTTGTCTAAAATAATATACTTGTTATACCTGGTATTATAGGCCTATTAATACTATATACTGTTAACCTCTAAAATTTATGCTGAAACAGATATACGTATCAAATGCTTATAATAGGCTTCCTTAATGTAAAATCAGGATCAAATAGATATAGGACAAGTCTTACACAGATTTTTTTGTTGTATGAAAAATGATAGTGTTGCTGGATTGCGATTCGATAAATGAGAAAACTATAGAATATAATTTTCATTTAAGAAGTTAAACATTTTCACACATTCTTCAATTAACCTGCACCAAGAAACCTGACTGATGTCTACAGCCGGTATTGGCTTAATGTGACACTTTTTGTCTAATCTTTCTGTTGTGACTCAGAAAAAGGCTCATCCGAAACTCAAATGTGTGGCTTATAACGCCTTTAAGAATTGGTTCAACTTTAACGTGACTTGTATCCAAGCCTTTTCGGGACATACCATTCAGATATTGAAAATGTATTTAGACTAGAGGGGCCTAATATTAGTTAACTGATAAAATATTTTCTGTCCCATTTTTTTCCCGGAAAGTGCTGTGTATAGAGGATAACGTTATTTGTAGTCTGTAGTTAGTAATTTGCTGGTTGCCTCCCTTTTATCACAAAATGATTGCAGACATCATTCTGCTTAGATTTTATTGCGCATTAGTGTTGGGTGTTACAGAAGATACTCTCAAGGTCACAAGAAGAGAATATATTTCTTTTGCATCAATTATCAATTTGAGTAATAAAGATTACATTAAAATGGTACTATAGCCTAATTGTTTTCCGTTGTGTGCATAGAGAAATTACAACAATGAAAATTCTGAAAAGACTGAAATAAAACTATGCTTTAGTGACGTTTAGTGAAAATATTCGGAAATTGGTCGTGAAGTTACTAGTAATATCGTTTGACAAGCAGAAAAGCATTTTTGGCAGTGGAATTATAGGTTGCAACAAAGGGTAGGCCTATGATTTGATTGTCATGCTGGATATTAAGACTATTAGGGGTGGGTTTTAAAGCCAACCGCCTACCGCTGCCAACCGGCATACCAGAGTGAAAAAAAAAAGGCGCTAAAATGAGCATTGTTAAATTTAAGGATCGTAGATTTTCATACTACGAAACTATTCAATTTGACGGAATTAGGTACTACGGTTTGCAATTGATCGATCCAGAAGCTCTTTTTTGCAATACTAGCTTAGTTTTGGGTTTAACCATAGGTAATAAGGGAACTTTTTTAATTGGCATGAATATATTATTTATGTTGGGTAGGTTGAAATGATTCGCAATTGGTCTATCTTTCTTATGAAAATATCGAAAAGATAAAACGAGTACGCAACGCATTTTGGATTTCAACAACACTTTGAACAAATTGGGTAAATTACATTTTTAAACAAGAAAGAACGACTGACATCTCAAATATTTTCCCGCTTTTCTTATTTTCAAAATGATGAGAAGAACATACATATTCGCAGGTACGACACCCAGAACCTGCACACGGTGTAGAGCCAAAACAATTAGGTGGTGTTAGGCCAACATAATTTCATAACATTATTATGATCGTTTTATTATACAGCTATGACAACACGCCTATGCCCTACTTACTTTATACTTGTCCCGGCGAGAGCTATGCGTTTAATTTGCATGGACTAGATGTGGGGAATATTTAGAGTCAGGCCCATTTGATAAGAACATAGCCTACCTTATGCGGTGGAAAAGTGTTTCGTGTGTAAAAGTTGATGTGGAAATTTGGGTTAATTTAAAAGATTAGATCTAAATATGAATCATATATTTTGTTCAGAAATTTAAACATTTTCTCACTAACAATTAACAATTAACAATTAACCTCTCGTCAGTTGGAAATCTTTCCTAATTTCACATTGGATAATGTTGCATGTTTTCATTAGTTCAATCTAGAAGGAGGTACCTAAAACATTCATTAAAGCTAAATTTAGAGTCCTCTTCTTTTTCTCTTCTTTTACTCTGTAACGATATGTATGTAGACTATTGGCAGCAAATTTCTTGATCTGGTGGCTCTAGGCCTAGGCCAGGTATATCTTTCAGGTATATCTCAGCGCCCGTATTTGTATTTTTGTTTGATTGGACTTTAAAACACCCAGTGTCTGTACTTTGCATTTCTTAACCGCAATATCACAACCTATAATTCCTTATACTGTGTAGAAATTGCAAGAATTATTAGAATATGAATGCATACTGCTATAATGACTATATACTGTATTGTACTATATGTCAGAAAGTTGAGGAAGACAACTGTGTGCTACATTGTAAAAATAAATATGGTGTGATGTCTGTCAAAATGACTTTAACTGAAAAACCTATATATAAAAAAATAGGTAACATGCGGAAAATTTTTGTTTTGATGATGAAATGTTAGGGTTAATACCACGTCACGTGATCTCATTCAGAGAATACGTCAATGAGATAAAGATTTTGATTGGTTGAAATTAGGCCACCATTTACTTTAGTAAATAAGTTGGTTTAGAAAACCAAAGAATAATTTCGCAAAGAACATTCTTCTATGATTTTTTTGTAAGCTTGTCTTTTCTTGTGCTAACAACCCACTATTTCAACTAAAGTTCGGGCAGGTAATGTAACTGTTTAGTCCATATTTGCAGATTTTATTTCATAAAACATTGCCGGTTCTGAGTGTTCCATATTTGACGTACACTTTTTGGCAATAACGCATGACTTATATGCTTGCTTAAACTTGGAATAATACAACCTTGACTTCCTGACCTCTAAATTGCCGATTTTAGAACTGTCAGCATTTCTTTCAGATATTGATTCAAACTTTAAAGGCTTAACTTGTTGTAGTCTATGTTTGCAATGCTGTATAATATTGCTAGGTTCCATTCCATTACTGTTCCTGTATTGATGGTTGTCTGATCCATTTCTAACCACTATATAGGTAATGGGCCTATACTTAAATGATAATTTCGGACACCATTCAAAACATATAGGTTTTTACAGAGCTAAACTTTTCTATGAATTTATCTTGTTGCAGATTCCGCAATAAATTTGAGATAAGAGATTTAAAGAATGCTACACAGAATACTATGTAGTCAACCAAAAATAATAAATCATGTCTTGAACCAGATTCAGCAGTCTTCTAATATTCAGATTAGAAACCAACATCAGCGAGTTATAGCTATAAGAAGAGAGACAATCAATGTTTGGGAAAGACGAGCTCCACTCTCCCCTCGTCATGTTGGTAGACTGGTGCGGAAGGGCATCAAAGTTATTGTCCAGCCTTCTAATAGAAGAGCATATAACATGCAGGTATGTTTGTTGTTAACTATCATATAGAATTAAACCAAATGTTTATCCATAACATATTAAATGACAACTTTTAGTACTAGGATAAATAAAATGATAACTGTCAGTGTTATGATATATAGAATGATAACTGTCAGTACTAGGATATAGAAAATGATAACTATTAGTGTTATGATATATTAAATGATAACTATTAGCACTATGATATATAGAAATGATAACTGTCAGAATTATGAGATATAAAATGATAACTGTCAGTACTAGGCTAAATAGAATGATAACTGTCAGTGTTATGATATATAAAATGATAACTGTTAGTCTTATGATATATAGATTGAGTACTATGATTTATATCAAATGACTTAGGTCTACGGTATGATTTATATCAAATGACTGTTAGTGTTATGATATATAAAATGATAACTGTTAGTGTGATGATATATAAAATGATAACTGTTAGTACTAGGATATATAAAATGATAACTGTTAGTACTAGGATATATAAAATGATAACTCATAACTGTCAGTGTTATGATATATAAAATGATAACTGTTAGTACTAGGATATATACAATGGTAACTGTCAGTACTGGGATAAATAGAATGATAACTGTCAGTATTATGATGTATAAAATGATAACTAATAGTGTTATGATATATACAATGGTAACTGTCAGTATTAGGATAAATATAATGATAACTGTCAGTGTTATGATATATAAAATGAAAACCGTTAGTACTAGGATATATACAATGGTAACTGTCAGTACTGGGATAAATAGAATGATAACTGTCAGTATTATAATATATAAAATGATAACTAATAGTGTTATGATATATACAATGGCAACTGTCAGTACTAGGATAAATATAATGATAACTGTCAGTGTTATGATATATAAAATGATAACTGTCAGTGTTATGTTATATTCAATGATAACTGTTAATACTATGATATATAAAATGATAACTGTTAGTGTTATGATAAATGATAATATAAAACTAACCTTAGTATATGTTTTGAGAGGATTGCTGTGACTTCTTTGTGTTAGATATGATTTTGATATTTTATAGGAGTATGCAGCACGTGGAGCTGTTATACAAGAAGATTTGAGTGAAGCATCACTAGTTATTGGAGTAAAACAAGTCCCAATAGACAATTTGATGTCAGGGAAGTCTTATGCTTTCTTTTCTCATACCATCAAGGCTCAAGAAACTAATATGCCATTGTTGGATGCTTGTCTTCAAAAGGTTAGTTTATATTGTTCATTCCTACCAGTGTTTAATGGTCTGTGAACTATTAAAAGGTTATCACATATTTCAGTGATTTTCTAACAAATATAAAATAAAGACTACCTCCCATGTATTGAGGGAATTTCTCAGAACCATGGTTCTGCCTTACAAGTACTTAAATTTCATCTGAAAAGAAGCTATACTGATGGATTTATTTTTGTAGAATATAAGATTAATTGACTATGAGAAAATGGTAGATGAAAATGGACAGAGAGTTGTAGCGTTTGGGAAATATGCTGGTGTTTCTGGTATGATTAATATATTACATGGAATTGGTTTACGTCTCTTAGCTCTTGGTCATCATACACCTTTCATGGTAAGGAATTTTAATTGTGAAATATTCATAAAGATATTAAGCGCAGTCTTTAGAAAGGCCAATTTCTTGTTGTAATATTATTATTAGTACTCACTCAACTTATATTTCTTTCAGCATATTGGACAAAGTCACAATTATCGTAATACTGAGATGGCACGGCAAGCTGTACGAGATGCTGGGTATGAGATAGCATTAGGACGGCTGCCTAAATCGATTGGTCCATTAGTATTTGTGTTTACTGGTTCTGGTAATGTGAGTCAGGTAAGGTACCATATATAGAGAAACTGTTTTCGCCAATTTATCACTTTTGTTTGAATTTTGTTTGATAATTGATTGCCCCTTTATTTTGTTTATATATGTTTCCAGGGTGCTCAAGAAGTATTTCAAGAATTGCCTCATGAATATATTGAGCCTGAACATTTACCTAAAATAGCAAGAGAAGGAAGTAAGTAATATTTGAATATTCAAAAGTTATTGCTCTTGATCATACCATATATATTGTGATACAATAGGATATGATGTAGGAGGGTGATAGGCGGCTGTAGATTAAAATAACTCCTTATATGCCATATGTACTATATATTTCACATATTTGGCTTACTTAATCGTAGATCATTAGTTCTTGTTTTTTTTATTATTGCAAAGAGGGTAGCAATGAAGAATTGTTTCCAGTGTCAACAAACTTTGAATGCATATCCATATTGTCATTAAACCATGTTGTCTACTATTTCTGTTTCAGCTGGAACTAAAGTATATGTCTGTGTTGTAAGTAGGGATGATCATTATATCAGAAAAGATGGTGGGAAATTCAACGCAGAAGAATTTGAAGCTCATCCTGAATTATATGCCTCCGCTTTTAGCCACAAGGTATATCATTGAGCTCTTTTAATAAATAAACATTATCTTTGTGGCTTCATACTACATGTAATGTTGGGAAACACTGACTTGAAACCAACAACTTCATCGTGAAAATTTGTGTTAACTATTTCTTACCTTAAGTTTGCTAAACCGCAGTTATGTTGTCTGTTTTAATTATGAAAAAAGACTTGGAAAACGATATCTATTTTCTCCAAGACCCTTTACATAAGATACTGACACTATCAAGACAGTTTAAAATATTTAAAAAGAAAAATTATGCTTTCTAATCCAGCAATGATGATACTATTTTACTAATTCTGCCATTATTGAATTTAATATTACAGATAGCTCCCTATGCCAGTGTTATTGTTAACGGTATATACTGGGCACCCAATGCTCCCCGTTTAATCTCCATACCTGATGCTAAGATCTTACTCCGTCCTAAAGATTACCCATGGATTCCATCCAGTCCAGGATGTCCACAACTTCCCCATCGTTTGCTAGCTATCTGTGATATTTCTGCTGATCCAGGAGGATCTATTGAGTTTATGAAAGAATGTACCACTATTGATCAACCATTCTGTTTATATGATGCTGAACAAAATATGGAAACTGACAGGTATGTGATAAAAGCCAGAAATGTGAATGGACAATTATAGGTAGGATAGGACTTAAAAAATATAAGGATCTAAAGTCTGTTAATAATCATGAATAGCATCTTAAACCCTCAAACGAAGATGACAAGTTAGCTTAGATTAGATTTTGTGAGAAAAAACTTAGAACCTGCTATCTTCATGCAGCGTATGATTTATAGGGTATATCAAAGTAAATTATTTTTACAGTTTTGCTGGTAATGGAGTACTGATATGTTCTATAGATAATATGCCAGCTCAGATTCCTAGAGAGGCTACTGATTTCTTTGGTAGTTTACTCTTACCTTACATTCCAGATATGGTAAGTTGATTTATGATAACAGGTAAGGTCGAGGCACATAATATGGATTTGTTACTATAGTTGTTATGAATGGTGTTAATCCATGAAAAATTTGTGATTTGCTTTAACAAAGATCTGATATAATGGAGAAAGATACAGATATGGATCTATAGTGTAATGCTCACCAATTATCAATTAAATTTCAGATAATGTCAGATGCACTAGAACCATTTGAGGAATATAAAGCTGCTGCTTGTGTAAAAAATGTAAGTATATAGTTGATCTACTAGATTTGTGATGAACAGAATCTCACACTGGCCCGAAGCTAAGCTTGCCCCTTATAAGAAATATATGACGCTCCCTGAAAATTTTAGATGACTTGTTAAGTCATATAGTTGAGCCCCCCCACTTAGCTTGTTAAGGGCCTGATCTCACATCTCTATTAGGATGTAAATTTGGCTCCAATGTTTGTCTGTTTTCACATTTTTATACGCCCATATGAAATGGGGGGGGGGGGGGGGGGGGGGGAAT